GTAGACATTGTCTCCCACCTAGTAGCAGATTCCGGTAATCAGCTAGGTTCTTCCTATAGGGATCAGAAGGGACAGACTACAGACTCAGTAGGTCGTGGGCCATCATCCGTTCTTCCACTAGCTCCCAGCCTTGTCCCTCCGATGTGCCTATCATGGTTGTAACTGTAGTCAGTATCTGGGGTAGTGTCTCTCATGTGTGTGTGTGTAATATGTTGTAGAGACAGGCCTATCTGGACAGGACCCCCCCAAAGTCCGTAACCGGACTCCAACCTGTGACCTACAGTACGAGACTGGAGGGTTCTACCACATGCACAACCGTAGGAAGTGGATGTAATGCGTGAAATATCTAGGCTGGGGGAGATCATCAGAGCAACCAAAGCCAACAACAGCAAGCAACCAACGTGAAGTCTACACCAGCATAAAACACCCACGGACTAACCGCCTGGGTGGTGCACAGGCAGTGTCTGTAAGAGTACCATGCATCAGCCCAGGGGGGGGGTGTCCAGCCGTGCGTCATTCTAACGCCCTGCCGGTGTCCATGCACAAGGCTGCGGAGTATTGGACCAGCAACCTTATACGGCAATGCGCATTTCCAACCGGTGCTCTAACCACTGAGCTACAGCCATAAGGCTGACCGATGGTTGACCCGCGTGGAACTGCAGGAAAAAAACGCCCAATGTTCTACCGATGGTTGACCTGCATGGAACTGCAGGCAACAGCGCCCGACACGTTACGAATGGAAGTTACAAGGCAAGCCGGTACCTTCGGCTCCACATCGTACTCGCGTCCGGGTTTCACCTTCGGATCGTCAGCTTCACCCTCAACCCGGCTTGCTTCATAAGGAAGGGGGGGTGTTAAATGCTGAGCCTGCACAGGGGCCCTATTTCAGGGGCCCAGCGGCTGCTGAGGGGCCCCCAGGCCAGCCATTGGACAAGCGCCCTGGAGGCCCACGGCGGCTCCCAGGCCGCAGGTTTCAACTACAGGCAGCAATTTATTTATTTATTTACTTATTTATTTGCTGTCCTATTTTTCTGTCCTATATATTTACTTATTTATTTGCTGTCCTATTTCGGACTTGCAGGGCCCAAGGTTACACCTTAGGCTGGGTACACAGGAGCGAGGCCGTTTTCAGGCCAGGCGAGTTTTTGCGCCTTGCTGCATCAGCATCATGGTCTGGACGCCCGGTAGGGGCCCCTGGGAGACAGGGCGGAGGCCATACCTGCAACGTTCAAGTATGTACCTGGGCGACATAGCTGGATCTGGCTCCAGAGACCTGCAGCACAGCGTACGCCAGTGAGGTCAGTACGTGGCAGCAGTTACCTGTAGGTGTGACAGTGAGGAGGACGACATCATCCTCTTCTTCTTCTTCTTCTTCTTCTTCTTCCATCTGTTCTCGCCCTCCCCCCTCTTCTTCCTCCTTCCTTCTACATCTTCTTCTTCTGCTTCTTCTTCCTCTTCGTCTTCGTCTTCTTTCACAGAGAGAGAAAAGAGGTTACTGGCAGAGGTTACTTCGGGCAGACATTCTCGTGGCACACATTGATTGGACTTTTGACAGGGAGACTGTTTTGGACTTCGCTATCACGGTCTTGTCTTCTCCCTCGCCTCCATCTTCGTCTCGCCTCTTCCCCGATCTCTCATCCGTGGCACCTCCCCCATGTGCGTGTGCAAGGAGGGACCTTTCGTATATGTATGTGGTCCCTCCTCCCTCTCTCAGATGAGTGATGTATAATGGGATGTCGCGTCAGTATCTGATGAGTCAGGTCATATCCTTGAGTCTTCCGTTGCGCCACTTCGTGCCATTTTTGTATGTATCTGGATGTACACTGCTGTTGATGTTTTGCTGACACTGCATTGTCCGGTCAAGTCTATTTCATAACTTTGTGGATCCTTGCCTCCCCATGCACTGCTCGATTGAGCATGCATTCTCACACACACACACACACACACACACACACACACACACACACACACACACACACACAGACCACACACTCGGCCCGCTTTCTCGGATACATCGTAATTCTGGGCGAAGTGGTGAGTCCTTATCCATCAGCCAGTCAAATGCATCCTGAGAAGACTGTCAGGGGTCAACCTCCTGACGAGTTCATGAAACTCCCACGAAACAGTCTAGCATCATGCTTTTACAGTCTCCCACAGTCTTCCTTTTCTGTGGAGTTGTGTATAGCAAACATGACAAAGCACACACGCACACAACCTCCTGATGAGTCGTTGAAGGTCCAGGGAAACAGTGGCACAGTCGTCCTTTTCTTTGTGCAGTTGTGTTTAGCGGATATGACAACACGACAAAGCTAATAAAACGCCCAGGGGGTGGCAGAGCAGGAAGGTAAGGAGGAGGAAGAGGAAATCCTGGTGGACACCGGCAGGAAGGAGACGGTGTGCCTCCCGTCCATGTTGCAAACAGTCAAAGTTCCTAACTCAAACACACACCGACACACGTGTGGATCTAATCTTCTTCCTTTCGCAGCACTGCCACCGTACACTACTCGTCCTTCCATGTTGCGAAAACGAGAAATTGCAATGCCGAACAAACACCAACATGTCTGGCGATCTCATCTCCCTCCTGGCGTGGCAGGGCCACGGTGCACCTCAACTTGTACTTATTAATTATCTGGACTGCATCCCAATCCAGGATTCCGCGTGGTCAGAGCAGGTGACCAGCAGTCCTGTCCGTAGGGATGAGTTCAAATGATTACTTTTCTTTTCGTTTTTTTTTTTAACCACAACTAACTTTCACAGGTAAACTTCGGTGAGAAATTGGCTAGCATCCTCATTCTTTGGCGACTTGGCCTCCCTGACCTCTTCAGCTGGGGAGCACCAGCCAAAAAGAAGAAAGAATGAGCGCTGCGTCGGTTCATTTAGAACTTGGCACACAACACAAACCTGCCACAAGAAAAAGAGGCTCGGAGGTAGTGGTGGTTAAACAAAAGCTTCCTTTCTATTTCGTGATTACATTTATTTGTGTCCTCTTGCATGATTGGTATTCATCATAGTTGCGACGCACCTCCGTGCGCGGATTTGCGCACAATTCACGCACCGCACGCAGCGCACCACACAGTGCACCCAAGCGCACCGCACTGTAAAAATTAGGTCCAAAAAAAAAAAAAAGTAGGGTTTTTGTCATTCCTTAGGGTCCCCAACTCCGCAAAAATGTTAAACGCACCGCGCAAGCTTGCAAACCGGCCGCGGCCCCGGCCCGAACTTTTTTTTGGGCAAGGGCTGCCGAATTTCAATATCCTCAGGCCCTACCCCCAGAAATTTCAAAAAGGCAAAGCATAAAATAGGGCTCATTCCAACTTTTCTCTTAGGCGGGGTATGGAAACTGGCCTTCCCCCTCCCTTCTGCACATCCCACTCAGTGGTGGGGTAAGTTCGCGAGAAGGGAGTAGTCGCATCGTAACGACCTGCCCCACGAACATTGCAGAAGTCACAGGTTACATTTTCATGTCTGGCCGACCACCAACATATTCTGAAGGTTGCCGTTCAGGTCTGCATGTCGGCAGTTATGGGTTAGGATGAAGATGCCCGTAGCTCTCTCGGTTTTTTGTTTTTGTTTTCTTATGAATACGTACAGTGGGGCCTGCTCCACTACTCACCACATGCACAAAAGAAATAGCATATGGCGGTGTACTGTCCCATGTTACAGAAGATTTATTCTAGTAATATTATTATTGTATACATTTGGTGAGTGGTGAGGGGAGCTCTCGTTTTTTTGTTTTTGTTTTCGTACGAATCCGTACAGTGGGGCCTGCTCCACTCTCACCACATGCACAAAAGACGTAGCATATGACGGCATATGGTTCCATGTTTTAGCAGAAGATTCATTCTAATAATATTGTATACATTTGGTGAGTGGTGGACGGAGGCCCTGAGAATCACGTGGAGACACTAACAGGCTCTAGCTGAATTGGTGACCCGTAACTGCCGAGCTACAGCCTTGAACTCGAATCCAAAGCATATATTAGTGGTCTGCCATACCTCTTCCACAGATAAAGAGACCATCCTCCTAAATGAAGCGGTGGTCCTCGATGACTCCACATGCAACGTAGGAGTCATTCGAGGTACCTGCAGGGGCCCTCGAGTTGACGTGAAGGGGACCCTTTGTTATCTCTTTCTCTCTCTCTCTCTCTCTCTCTCTCTCTCTCTCTCTCTCTCTCTCTCTCTCTCTCTCTCTCTCTCT